TATGGAGCAACACGCCTGTGTTTACCACCAAACGCACAAGTAATTCGTTTTGTCACTTGGTGTCTTTAATTTAAAAAATAAATAATTAATTATTAATACAAAAAATTAACACTAAGAAAAAATTCCTTCGATCCGGCCGGATTCGAACCAACGTCTTCCAGCAAACCGCGCCAAACGCTATGGCAACTTAGTAAGCTACTGAACGAATTAGCGAACCTTACGAATTTTTCTATATGCTTGTTGCATATCTTTGTTTTTGGTTTGAAAGCTTTTCTTCACTCAGCCAGGTACCTTTACAGCTACCAGCAGCTGACTAGAGATGTCGCTTTAATAATTGTAATTTTTAAGTTTATTAAATGTCACGATGTTTACCATCATGACAATTAATTATTTTTGTGAAATTACTCCACTAGTTTATGATAATTATAATTAGGTAGATAAATACACCCACCCTCTAAGACGTCTAGCTAGCCTTAACACACACATACACACACGTGCACGCACGCACGCGCGCGCGCACACACACACGCAGCCTTACTCTAACCTTATCTTAAGTTAGGATCGACCTTATTTCAGTACTTTTTCTTTTTTATTATCATTCTTTTTGAGTAAGTATGTAATTTATCTTAAAAGGATTTAAATATGATTCTGAGTCGGAGACCTGGTGTCCCATGACACAGGGTCTACCTAGTTTGGGCACCAGTCTCCCGTTAAGTTCTCACCTGAATGTATTTTTGTAATTGTATGTGAATGGAAATGAAAGAATAAATGATTATAATTATTATATAATTATTAATAAAAAATGTTAATACAAATTATTGGAGTTGATTACCAACTAGTGGAAAAATTTCAAAAAAGTAATTGAATAACATGGTGGTCAAACGTCGTGACATTCGATAAACTGAAAAACAAACTTTTAATGAACTCCATAATAAAATTTCTATAAATCAGAAGCGCAGAGCTTACAATAATTAAGAGCGTGAAGGCATACGCCACAATTGACAACGAACGCTTGCTGTTGCCACTATGCAGTCGGCCTTCTTCGAGATCTAAAAACTACAAGTTCAAAAACTGAGACTAACGTGAGTTGGAATCACTGAGACAGATATAATAGCTTCAAAACTATTCATGTAGTTCTGAAATGTAACAATTACCTCATCTAATACTAGCCTTGAACGAAAATACGGTTTACGCTACCCGACGAAATGATTTGTGAACAGGGTCAAGCTTGACACTTAAGATTTAAATTCAAGTCTATGCTATTTACGATTAGAATGGACCAATTTTCCAAAATGTTGGATTTAAGATGTTTAATAATAAATAATAGATATTAGGCAACAACACATACGTTGCTCTGATCCCAAAGTAGGTAAAGCACTTGTGTTATGGAAATCGGGAACAACGAATTAAATGACTTACAAATAAGACTGCTAAAGAAAATTGTACCCTTGAAAGTGAAATGCAGACAAAGATAATTATGATAAACTATTCCAACACTGTAAAGTTTTAAATGTTTATGATGAAGTAAATTTAGCAATTGCATCTGAGTACCAAGAAAAAGTTCCATTTTTGGACAAGGAAAAAACTAAGACTAAAAAACTGTCAAGATTAAGAATATTGCATAGCAATCGTACATTTAAACTACTAAAAATTATAACAATGTACATGGTAGGAGAATATGGTCATTTGTATTTCCAGGTGTGTTAAAATACCAAAGAAGTTAGTACAAATATTAGAATCAACACATAAAAGGATCTGTATCAGATTGATTAGGCGACACTTGGCTAGTAATATTATATAAGAGCTGTGTAAGTAAATATACTAGATTTTGCAATAAGTAATAATGTAAAGATATCGCTATGGTCGTGAAATAACTTTTGTAATTTTTCGAAACAAACAGTTTAAATTGTAATTTCTTTTTTTTTATCGGCGGTGCCACAAATAGCCAAACCCGAGACAATATGGAAAAGTTAGTTTTTTCTACACTGACCCGGCCGAGGATCGAATCCAATCATCAGAGATGGCGACACCATTACAACTGTTACGCAAGCCACTCGATCACGGAGTCCAGTTTAGTAGCAGTAGAGCTCCTTGTGAAAGAGTTCGTCCAGGGAAGTTAAGCCACATTACCTATTTCTGTCGCCAAGTATTAATGTGAGCGTTACTGTGTTTCTGTTTTGAAGTGTAAGAGTGCTGCTGAAATTACATGCACTTGAGACTTGTCAACTCATGTCTCAGAATCTTTGCGATTTAAAGCTCTGAGTGGCGCTGCAACTGGTATGGACAGGCGTGCCGCTTAACACCAGGACTTGTTCGTCCTGTCACTTGGTATCATAATAAGAGGCCGATGTTTCACCATTGAATTACTTTTACTGGTGCTAATCAGAGAAGATGTTTATAGATTTTCCCTGGCCATTGTTATAGATATCAGCACTTCGTTAATTTGACTGAACGACATGATGTTAAATTAATGACATACAGGTCCTCTCCTAAGTAACTGTTTGCACTAAAATTAGGAAATTTTTGTTAGGGCAATCCATGTTCGTATAAGTATTTCACATTCAAAGCTGTATGTCAATCTCGTTACATCATAAATTAATATAATTAAATAAATATATAGACACCATCACATGCGGTGTTCTAATCCCAAAGTAAATAACTAATAAAGCACTTGTGTTATGGAAATGGATATCGGAAACAACGACGGTACTACAAACAGACCTAAATGGAGATCATCACTGCTACGATTGAACCAGTCTCCCAGGTTCAGAGGGTTTTCCTTCTGCCACGACGTTTTCCTTGGATTTCCCTTGCATTATTAGTGGAAGAATCCGGTATCTATTTCCCATCATTACGTGGCCAAAATCCTGCAGCTTCCTTTCCTTTACAGTTAGATATCTCCAATGAACATTATGCCAACTTAATTTTTGGACCTGTTCTGTTTTTAATGTATATAGTTGCTTTTTGTTTCTTTATTTCTTTTTTTTCCACAATATTTGTTTCTGATTTTTTTTTTAAATTAGAGAAGCATAATATTTAATACTTAACATTAATAAATAAATATGGCTGTTTACAAAAGTATCAGAAGATTTCCAAAAAATAAAGTTGGTATAGTGTTCATTGGAGGTATCGTGTTGTGAATATTTCTAGTTTTTTCCCCTTTCGACGTAGAATCTCAACATTGGTGACCCTTTTGACTCAAGATGTGCCAAGAATACGAGCATGATGCCAAGGAGCAAGGTCCGACAATCGTATACAGAGTAATACGGCAGCTAGTGAGAAGAGAAAAAGTAAGTAATTGTTCTTCCACAGAACAGGGCCTTCACTCCTTCACTTTCCACTTTTCACAGCAGTTTCCCGTAATTTGTCACCCTTACAAGTGGAATATTTTCTTCAAATTTCAAAGTGGTCACTACTGAGGTAATCCTTATCCAACAAAAAAAGATTCATGCAAATCGGGTCTCAAATGTCGGAGTAATTGGGTAACATACACACAAAAAAATACAGACTAAGAGAACCTCCTTTTTTGAAGGCGATTAAAAATCCGTAGCCAATTGTCTGTTGCTTACACATTTACTCGATTTTGTGCGATTACACGTGTCGATCGTTCATAAAACCGTTCATAAAAACTTGTATATGACAATTTTTAAGGGAATAGGCATATTGACCACTGCATCACAGTTTATTTTAAATTGTGTACTTTTTGTGCGTCTGAATAATGAATTGTATAATAAACGGAGTGACGTACATAATTTTAATACTAGACAAAAACGAAAGATCATTTTACCGAAGTTAAGACTTCAGAGGGTTCTCGGTTCTTTTGTGGGGCAAGGAATTCTGTATTATAATAAGAGTCCAAAAGCTGTTTTGGACTTATTCTTTGATAAGTTCAAAAATCATGTAAAGGCAACTCTACTAAAGAATATTACTCTGTTAGGTAGTCTGTTTATATAAACGATAAGACAGTATGGTTTTAAAAATTGTGTAAAAGTGATGATTTCAAGTGTAATTTGCTTATCTATGAAATAAAGATAATTTTGATATGACTTGACTTAATTCGCTGATGACACAAAGTACAGCAAGAGTATGCCCAACAATGGCGCGGTATAGCACTTAAGACGATGATGACAATTATTTTTAATATATTCAACGATGGCGGGAGTTTGAACGGGAATATTCTGCTAATCAGGCATGGTTCATACAACTTAATTAATAATTATCTCTCAAGTCAATTAACCCAATAATGCTCAACAGCAGACATCTACCTACCCTAAAGCCTTAAATGTTTACTGTAATTACGTGTTTACTATAGTTACAAACATACTGCGTAACTCTATCTGCCTATTATTGCTAAACTGCGATACTCGAATAGTTAAGAAGGAATATTACTAAGTTTTCAAAATCTTGTATCACAAAAAGAATTCTTATTGTGCAAGTGTATTTACCATTTCAATGAATATCTGCTATAAGAATCAGATGTTATTCCTTTTATAACATAATTGATTTTATAGAAAAATTTGTGAAATATGAAAATCAGATACTTTTTGGAATAAAAAGCCTATTAAGTTACATCCTTACTTAAATAAATATTTAGAGCTAAATTTACGTTTTCGCATAACAAGTAGGTAACGTTTATTACGTTATTATACACATTTATTCGGTGGGGCTACAGGTTTATGGCTATTTAATGTAAGTTTTTATCAATTTAGTAGAAGCTTGTGTGTGTTTTATGTGCAAATACGGATATTTTACTAGGAAATTTTTATTTAATATTTGCGTAACTCCTAAAATAAAAACACGGCTTGACCTTCAAACATAGTCTTGAATAGCATGACGTTATCGTTACTAAAATAATCGCCATATTTTAGTACGAATTCAGAACACGTAACGCGTACGTAAAATCACGTCACGATGTCACTCGGGTATAGTCCGTTGGGAAAATCAGTTCTTTTCTGCGTTATTTTTCACTTCGTCCGTTAGTGTTTGTGTGGACACCGCCGTTTAAAGACTTAACGACTAAAAGAATTAGAAAATTAGCAACAATGCAATATCAAATTGTAGTAAACATTGTGTTATTCATAACCATAATTAAAATAACTTTGGTTTTCGCATGGTATTCCATGGGGTCGAGCTCTGTGGTACCAGGAGAGAATAGGTATTACGGAATTCATGATGGATGGGAGCATAAGAAGAAATTTACCAATGAATGGACGGTACAGGTGGAAGGTGGAGAACAGGTTGCTCAACTCGTGGCTTTGGAACTTGGATACGTTTATGAAGGACCGGTAAGTCATAGCACCCTTACATTCAACAAAGGAATTGAAATAAATGGTAAATGTGCAACTTACTTTGAGGGACAATTAACAACAACTTTGTTTATATAGGTTTTTTAAGTATAATCCGTTTTGTAGGTCACGTAATTCCTATGTTAACAAAATTGTAAACTGTTGGTTTACAGTAATTTTTTTTCGTTAAATAAATAATAGGTTACTTGGGTTTTGCTTTAAACGTTAAAGCAAATTATGTAATAAAATCACAACTACCCTTTATCTTTTCTTGACGAGCTCGGCGGCCCAACGGTTTGCATTGTGAGCGCTGGATTAGGAGATCCCGGGTACGATTCACGGTAGGACCAATTTGGGAAACGAACTTTTGGAATTGATTCTGCTCCGGAAGTTCCTGGTGGTTTCCTGGACTGACTAGTCTACTCATAGTACAGGGAATTTTCAAGTTTATTATAGACCAGGTGATTGTTGTGGTAGTCTGGAAAAATCTACCTTTTGATCAGACAGTTCAGACAAATCTGGATTTGTTTTAGGTCATAAAATAATATTTAAGAACTAAAACATAAACATAACATAACTTTGCCTCAAAGATTGTCTGGAAGAAGCCGCCCGTTTTAATTCTAAGTTGTCTATGTACGTTTTTGTTTTTGTGTGTGAGCAGTAAAGTGTATATCTATAAATTAATCCAAATTGTGGCGACAAATTACAAATAAAAAGTAAATTACTTTGAAAAAGTTGTCAAAATATTTCCTTAAACAGAATAAACTCGCCTGTCATGCATTTTAAGAAGGATAACAAGAAAAGTTAATTAGATAACAAACAACAAAGCTGCCGTTTACGAAATGATAAAACATATTTTTCGTTCGAAATTATTTCTGAAAAGGTTTACAGTGGGAGATCGAATTGCTTTTCTATTTAATATCCAGCCAGTACGCATAGAGGTCACTCTCTAGCTCCTTGTGAATGAATTCGTCCAGAAAGCAATAATGTGAGCATTACAATGTTCTGTGCTATGTGCGACAATATGTACGAATATCGCCAATAAAACAAAAAATTGTTACATAATCTTTATAATTGGCTCTTTGGATCGGCATCATAACAATACAGTACGTGTTTTTTCAATTGGTCGGTTCGATTCCCAGATGAGGCAAGCTACTTTTTAAAAGTCTTTGAATGCAGCCTTACTTATTTTTAAAAATACAATCAATTAAACAAAAATCCTGAAGCAACATATCCCAGTCACAATATTTAAAGTAGGTACTTTGCCTCCGTGTCGTAGGTATAGCCGCGGGACACCGTAAGTACTTGGTAGTAAAGATTCTAGAAGGACCAAATTCACTCTCAAACTTAACACTCTCAGCGCCATAGAACAAACGATTTTTCTGAAGTAGCTATGTGGGCGGCACGCGGGACACCTCCACAAACTTTACCAGCAGGCCGCTTGGTACGCCGTGATCCTACCAAAAACAGACGGATGTCACCACTATGGACGAGATCGATATTTGTTTACGATCTGGATCAGTTGTTAGCAAAAGAGCCAAACAATTGGCTGTACTCGTCGAACGCACAACTTATATTATCGGCCTGCTGATGCAACCTTGGACTGGTCAGGACTAGAAAAGTCGAAAATAAGTTTTGATTCCTAATTGTGGTACGCCGGCGACCCACATGGCCTGCTAGGTAAAATTCGAAAATACATGGTGGCCTGCTGCACTTGGGTTTTTGTGGGCTGTCGGCGGCCCACATGGCATGCTGGTAAAAATTCGAAGATATGTAGTGGCTTGCTGCATTCGAATTTTTGAGGGCAGCCGGCGGCCAACATGACGCTGAGAGTGTTAATAACGGAAAATTGGGCAGTTCCAATACTTCTTCAAAAAATAAATTTTCCCTAATATGGTTGTATAAATTGAGACTTGAATAATTGAATAGCAAATTTGTTTTATTATTAAGTATTTATAAATACAATTTGCTATTACAATACGGTATACGAAACAATAACGTTATTCGAGCCATTCTTCTAATTTTCTTGAAGGTATTACGATTTGTAATTACGTAAGCTGAAGCATTTTTGTTTCCGTAAATAAATAGAAATCTATCGGTTGTTGTAAGTCAGGTTAGGCTTGTGACGATGGTCGGAGGACGCAGTCCTAGCCTTCTGCGAGGCAGGGATGGTGCAGAAGGAGGCGGCGGGAAGAGAAAGGGAAGATTCAACCCCTGACCCGATTCGCCCCCGGAGAGCTGGTCCTAGAAGGAGAGCTATGGCTCTCTAATTGACGTGAACGGGTAGCGTAAGCCCCGATGTCATGAGTCCATGAGCAGCAGTCATAGGGAAGACTATCGCTCGACACTGGTGGGCCCGAGATGGTAGTGTCACCATCATCATCATTCGTCGTCATCCCATCATCTATCCCTTTTCTGGTTCCTGACCACTTGCTACTGATGTGCCGATAAACACAAATAACTTTAATTTCTTTATTGTAAAACTTCACTTCGATAAGTATCAAACTAAAATAAATGATATAGTGAGTGTTATATATTGAGCCTTTCTTTCCATCTATTATCATCTCTTACAATAAACCGACCCTTGTGGGTCGAGCCGTTTGCATTATCATTTCTCTAAAGCAAGGCTTACAGGTTATCTACATAAAACCCGGCAATCGCAAGAGCGTCTTTCTTAAGTTGAGCCACTGCCTCCTTCTCAAAGCCTCTCCTTGCTACCCATTTCTTGCTCATCGCTTCATTTGGGGTGTAGTAATGTTTACAACTACAATTTTCTATTTTCTAAATTTAATTTGAAATTAACCATGTGTTGAACGAAACGACCCACGTTGGAAGATGGGATTTCCACCCTGTGTTATCAACTCTATGTGCATTATTTCCTTAAAGTTTAGGGAAATATATTTGCCAAGTTATATCATAATACAACATGGCATAAATATAGAAGACAACATGACACAAACTAAACATAGACTCGCATTTAATAACAGGATATTTGACAACACTTTGACAAAAACAAAATTTTCGAAGTAGCAATAATAAAAGGTAGCGTAACTTATTGTTATTATTATTATTATATTATTTATTGCACAGGAAAAAGCACAGATTATATTTAATAAAAGAAAAACACAAACAAAATGTGTATTGCTTATTTCTATAAGAAATTTCTTCCTGCAGACCTAAATAGGTACAGGACAAGATAACCATAAAAACATTAAACTATTGTAAACTGGATAGGTAAATACATATTTCATAATAAAATACCTATAAAATGGAGGGAACAGTAGATAAATAATGCTCCTTAACTCTTAACTTAATTTTAAAATAGCCAACGCTGTACTTTCGCGAATAGAAATAGGACTTGCGTTCCAAAGTCTCATGACCGCATGAACAGTGAAGGAGTGAGAATAAAAACCGGAATTGAAGGAAGGAAAAGATAACTGGGACCTAACGAGAGAGCGACAGGGTGTGTTCTGAGACCTGAGAAATCTGAAACGCTATAAAGACTATTGAAAAGAATAGAGACTATATGCAACTATCATTCAAGTGAGTTGACTACGATAGCCAAAGATAAACCTGATATATAGATTTTGCAACCGTTTAAGCTTATTTAGGTGTTCTTCTGTAGCATCCAAATAGCAGGAATCAGCATAGTTTAAGGTAAGAGGGTAAAGTAAGAGATTGAGCTAAATAGATCTTAGATGTAAATGGCAAAGAGTTTTGGAGACGCATAAGCGAGTGCAAGGAAAAATGGACTTTTCAACTGACTTCATTAATAGAGGTGACCAAGCCAAATTGCAGTCTAAAATTTTATCGTCGTTTCTTTTTTTATAATACCAAGTGCCTGGACGAACTAGTCGTGCGCCTGGTGTTAAGCGACACACCTGTCCATAACAGTTGTAGTGCCGCTCAGATATTTAAATCGCAAAGATTTTAGGGGCTCTACCACTGCGCCCTGGGGCATAAGTTGTCAAGTGACCAGCACACTTACCATTTAAAACCGGAACGCACTAATGCTCACAATACTGCTTGGTGGCAGAAATAGGGAAGGTGGCAGTACTACCCTGGATGAATTCTTTCACAAGGAGCTCTGCTGCTATTTAACTGCCATACCTAATTACTACAAGTGTAAAACTTTGTCATGTAGGTATGTGTATGTCTTCTTACGTAATGAATGTTATTGTCTTTTGGAATAAAAGGTCCTAAAAATGTCTCATCACACGTGCCGATTGTCAAAATATCCAGCAAATTTTTAGGCACGTTTACAAAGGGGCTGCACTACAACACCAATTTTCGGGAACGATAATATGTATCATACGTAGGTTGGGGATTTATTCCTAATATCAGTTAGTTTTCACAATTGGGACTCTCCGAGAGATTGGTGTTTTTTAATCTAGTACAAATTTTGTGATAACAAGGTGATATTTTTTTAAGTAACACTTCCAAATAAATTACACTTCGCGTTGTGTCTCTACTACCTCAAATGGCTTTGATTGATTCCACACAACAGTGAAAGCGTTGAGTCAATACACATATAGTAGAGTATATACACAGATTACTACACGGTGAGAAAACACGATTCCTAAAAATAAACACAAACTTACCTCAAAATTTTACAAAACGGAAAGCCGCTGTATTCAATACTTTACATATACCAATGATTATTTTTATATCAATTGAACTAAACAGAACACGTATACTGTAGGATATACATTTTTGAAACGGCTTTAATTTCATTTGTAAAAAGGTAATTTCTGAAATGAAGCCAGTGTCCCTACCGCTCGACCTAAGTAAAATGAACCGTATTAGTAAGGGAAAAATTTTAATACGACCTGGGGTAGTATCGACTTAATCTTTCTAATTAAATTATAGGACAGGCACAGTTTACTTGGTGAACGTTTTTGATTAAAATAGATTACTGTTCAGGCTTTCGAAGAGATTTCATGAAGATGAAGTACGAAATCCTGAAAGCATTGATGAGCAATTTATCCCTGTGTCGTTTT